TATTAAATATTAATATTTAAATTTAAAAATTGATTAAAATTTTAAATTTTAAATTAAAATTTCAATTTCTAAATATAGGTTGAGACTCTAATGTGTTTGAGTTAAAATTAATAGACACTAAATTAAATTCAAGACTTGTTAAAGTTAATCCAAAGTTACTATAATAGTCTAAATTTTAAAAAAAATCAAAAATTAAAAAAAATCATACAACTATTTATTATAAATTTACAACTGATTTATTACATATTAGCTATTGACTATGGACTAACAATTGCAACTTCATCTTCCAAACAATTTACCTTTTACAAGTCTTACAAAATAAGGAATCCATTTTTAAGTAAATGGGATTAATTCGGGGAGATTTTGTGTGATGGAAAATGGTAACTCCGTAAACAACGGCGTTAAATAGCTCTAATGCTACCAGCTCCTTGCCCTCCAACTCCAAGTCCGAGATTTCTTAACGGCTGATATTGTGTAAAGCATCCGTTAGAAAAGTCACACCGCGTGTATACAGTAACAGTTTACATCGATGTACAGTGCATCGTCATTGCCGCGTCAAACTCAATGCTCCATTGTGGACACGTAGTCCGTTCAATGGATGTCTGCCACGTCATCCCCAAGATGATATCCAAAATAAAATCGGTAAAAACCGACTCTCAGCCCTTTATCTTAATAAGTGTATTGGTTTTAGCCCTCAACTTATAGTATGATACTTTTAACTTTTTACCTATACAAATTGAAAAAAATACCCTTATTTTTTGATGAACAAAAAAATACTCCTATTTAATATGAGATTATAATATTTTTCAGCTAACTATTAAATTTCATTAATAGTCAGCTGTCAGGTTGCTAACAGTGATAGAAATAGAGTTAATAAAATGTTAATAGTCAACTGACGAATATTATAAATTGATATTAAGTAAGGGTTATTTTCTTTAATTTGTAAAAGTGATGGGTAAAATCTATAAATTTATTAAGGTAAAAAGATAAAAATAAATTTTTGTCGAATAAAATCTGTAAGCCCTTTTTTTGGGGCAAATAATCTGCGCATCGTATCTCCATGATGAGAAAGGTTATTGCCATAATCTTTTTTTTTTTTTAAGATCACACAAAATATAGTTTTATGGTTAAAAATAATTAATTAATTTTTAATACATTTGATTATGAGTTATACAAGAGAGATAGTTCTCTCCTATTAGTAAATCTCTCCATACTTGATTAAAGTTTAAATTTGAAATTTCAAAGTTTTAATTATTGAACTACTTTATTGGGACTAAAAAAATAATTGATTAATAAAATAATTAATAATAATTATGTAATAGATTAATTAAAATTAAATTATAAAAGAGAGATAGTTCTCTTCTATTAATAAATTTCTA